TGGAAAGGGCCACTTGGCTTGTCACTGGGCCCAAGGTGGAATCTGGATGCCAGGTGCACTGGACTAAATATGTGTGTCCCATCCCACAATTCATATGTTGAAACCCTAATCCTAGTATGAAGGTGTTTGACCTTGAAGCCTTTGAGAGATAATTAGATCATAAGGGTGGAGGTCTTGTGAATGGGATTAGCCCATTCACACCATAGTGGTCCGGGTTCTCCAGAAAAACAGGACCAATAGGATGTATATAGATATATAGAACGAAATTTATTATGAAGAATTGGTTTATGCAGTTATGGGGGCTAAGAACCCTCATGATCTGCTGTCTGCAAGCTGGAGGCCCAGGGAAGTAGGTGTTGTCATTCTTTTATTTATTTGTTTGTTTGTTTGTTTGTTTAGAGAGTGGGGGGAGGGGCAGAGGGAGCAGGAGACAGAAAGAGATTTTAAGCAGGCTCCATGTGCTCAGTGCGCAGCCCATCTTCGTCTCACAACCCTGAAATCATGATCTCAGCTGAAACCAAGAGTCGGATGCCTGACTGAACCACCCAAGAGTCCCAAGGTGGTGTCCTTCTGATGCAAACCTTGGGCCTAAGAACCAAGGAACCAGTGGTGTAAATCCTAGTCCAAATCCAAAGGCCAGAGAATTAAAGGGCTGATGTTGGAGGGCAGAAGAAGACAGAAGTTATAGCTGAAGCATAGAGCATATCCCTCCTTCCTCCACCTTTTTATTCTATTTGGGCCCTCAGCAGATTGGAAGAGGCCCACTTGCATTGGTGTGGGCCATCTTTGCTCAGTTCACCAATTCAAATGCTGTTCTCTTCTGGAAACAGCCTCACAGTTAACCCATAAATAATGTTTTACTAGCTATGTGGGCATCCCTGAGCCCAGTCAAGTTGAAGATTAAATCAACCACCACAGGGGCACCTGGGTGTCTCAGTGGTTGAGTATCTGCCTTTGGCTCAGGTCATGATACCGGGGTCCTGGGATCAAGTCCTGCATCGAGCTCCCCACTGGGAGACGGCTTCTCCCTCTGCCTATGTCTCTGCCTCTCTCTGTGTCTCACGAATGAATAAATAAAATCTTTAAAAATCAAACAGGGACACCTGGGTGGTTCAGTGGTTGAGCATCTGCCTTCAGCTCAGGGCGTAGTCCTGGAGTCCTGGGATCGAGTCCCACATCGGGCTCCCTACATGGGGCCTGCTTCTCCCTCTGCCTGTGTCTCTGCATCTCTCTCTCTATCCCTCTCTCCCTCAATCTCTCTCTGTCTCTCATAAATAAATAAGTAAATCTTTTTTAAAAATAAAAATAGAACTCAATCAGTCAATCAACCATCATAGCACTCTTTTGGAACCAGTTAGCTTTCCTTTGGCCATGTGAAGCTACAATGAGAAATATCCCATCTGTAGCCCACAAGAGGGCATCCTGATCTTGAACTCCCAGCTTCCAAAACTGTGAGAAATAAACTTCAGTTGCTGATAAGCCATGGTATTTTGTTGTAGAAGGTCAAACTGACAAAGTCACCGAGCCACGAACACCAAGGGCACTGTGACCTGAAATACATATCACATACTGGGTGCAAACTACCAAACCGTGATGCTGGGTGTGCACAGCAACATCCATCATCCATGGAAAATATGTGTATGGGATCAGACAAGTGGGAATGGAAGATACAGGCATACACCTCAGATGGTTCAGATACCCATGGCACCTGTTCCTGATGCTTTCCCCTCCACCTACACCTATGGGCTCATGGATATTCCCTGTGATCTGTTTATAGAGAAGGGAAACAACAGACCAGGTTTATGAACAGATCTGTATGATGGGATGGTGCCAGGCAATGTATAGATACTGGGTTAGCACTGCATCCATGTGGCCCTGAAGGAGCGATGTAGGGAATTTCTTCAGGTGGTGAAACTTCAGGGGTCCACCTTGTGGGAGAGATGGATGTCCTTAGGTCCACTTATGCATGGATCCATATGAGCCACCTGATCAAGGACTTGGAAAGAATAAAAGTATAAAGAAAAAAAAGAAAAAAGTAAAAGTATAAAATGAAGACAGGGAGGATATGTAGATGGTCCTCTGGAGGTAGACACAGAGTGTGAAGGTGTTCATGACCCACGCTGATGCCCACCAGAACACATGCAGTGAGGAATAGCCGCGTGATGTGGGCAGGAGTGGAAGCTCCACATGGTTTACAACAAATGGGCTAACTCTGCAAGGCTGACCAGGCTGTTGACTATACTCAGTGCCCAAACCAACAGAGGCAGAGGCCAGTTTAAGCCCATTATGGTGTTGTTCTACAGCAGGACTACACAAGGCATGCACCATCATGAAGAGGACTGAGCTTTATCCTCACAGGAATATACACATGCCTGAATCCACATGCGTGGGTTCCCATTCACCTTCCTTAGACACCCAATGCTTCTGTCAACAGTGCCATTTAGGAACTTAGAAAATGTCTTTTGTATTGTTACGGTGTCCCATGAGGAAGTGGGGTAATTAACTCGCAGCCATGGAGCTCACCAATCTTCCCAGGTGTCCCATTACACGGAGACAGTTAGCTTATCAGGGTGATAGAATGGCCCCTGATGGCACTGGATGAGAGATGGTACCCTGGTATCCATCAGGAATGTAGGTCTTAAATCGGTAGTCAGTCTACTGTGCCACATCCCCTATAGCCAGAATGCAAGAATCCATGAAACTCCAGGAGAATAAGGGAGAGCCCCTCCCACTACTGTACCCAATAAACCACTTCTGGTCTCTTTGACCTTGAGATTAGGTGGGTGAAGAACCCATCATAATTCTAGTCAACTGGAAGCCACTTCAGCCCAGTCATTTTGTGCTTCCCCACGTGGCTATAACAGAAAGCAAAAAGTAGGAGCATCCTGCTAATCACCAGATGGAGCGTGACCGCCAGAGGGAGGTTGGGTCACCGGGTCAGGGAGGACTATGTTTGGAAGCCAGGTGAGGTGTAAGGGGTACATCTTCATATTTCCATGGCCAGTGGCCCTGCTCCATGCAAAACTACAGACACTCAATAAAGATCATCAAACACCCACACCTCATAAGAATGAAGATTTGTGTCACACGACAATTGCTTAGACTAGGTGTTGGCAGGTAGTAAGATGATATGGAATGGGTGGGGTAAGGAGCCAGTTCTGGTTACCACTGGCTACACATCCAGGACCTTTGCAGCCTTGTTTTTACATTATTTTCTTCCCCATCTTCCTCTCACCATGGCATATGAAGAACTGGTCATCACTGTGGGCATCCAACTCATTATCACTAGCATGCCATGTTGTTGCTGTGATTAAGTAATGGATGGGAATTGTGTATCTTCTATACCGAGGACTCTGGTTTTCATCTGGACAAGGGAAGGGGGTGGGTGTGAGCAGGAAGAGGGTGGACCAGGCGGGACACCTGGTGTCCTCCCCTTGCTCTGTGCTGTGGGTGGCAGATCTTTGGGGCTGCATCGGTGGGGCAACTGCCTGCCCTCCAGCTATGTTCCAGGAGGAGCCCCAACTAGTAGACAAGAGGGAGGACTCTGAGTAACACTGGGGTGATAATTCCCTAGCAACCTCCCTACGGTGTAGACTGGGTGGCCTTTTCAGCCTGAAATCAGAGCACCTACCAGGCAGCCCTCTGAAAACCTCCCCCGCGTACCCTTCCCCCTACAGATTCCAATAATAGTAAAGACTTTTCCTCACCTTTCTTGGGCCCAGAATGGTTACAAAGACCAAAAAAATCAGCCTCGAGAAACTGTGCAAAATCTCTTCTTTCTCTATTCCTCACAAACCCTATGTCAAGTTTCTCGGGTAGGATGAGTCCCCCTTGGGTAGGAGTCCCTCCCTGCTAAGAGAGAGGTCTCATTGGTGGTGTGATGGTGTGACACCACCTCCCAGATCATGGTGATGTCCACGTACCTTTAGCCCAAGCATCCTGGAGGCTCTGCTACCCTCCAAGGTGGAATGGGGACATGCACCTGAACAGTGAAGGAAGGTCCTGAGATGGCAAATCTCTCACTGGGCTCCTCTTATCCCCATGCCAGATCTCTGCATGTCCTGCCCTCCCCTCACAGAGAAATCTCAGCATTCAGGGAAAGGACGATGTCTTTTTTTTTTTAAGATTTCATTTATTTATTCGTGAGAAACACAGAGAGAGAGACAGAGACATAGGCAGAGGGAGAAGCAGGCTCCCTTTAGGGAGCCTGACACAGGACTCAGTCCCAGCACTCCGGGATCACAACCTGAGCCAAAGGCAGATGCTCAACCACTGAGCCACCCAGGAGCCCCAAGGACGATATCTTTATCATCAGACACCTGTGACCACTGCTTAACTATCCCCTCACCCAGAGGGCAAGTTCAGCTACCCCCAGGTGCTTCCACTTGTTGTTATCAGGCCATGAAGTATCTGGATGTACCAGGGGATGGCAATTCATGGAGAGGACAAGGAAACAAATTCAGTGTCCAAGGCTGTTTGTTCATGAAATCAGAGGGAAGGTTAGTTTAGGGGTCAGCAAGGAGCTAAGAGCCATAGGGAAATGAGGTCAGCAGAGAGGCATCCCACACCAGGGGCTAGGGATAGCTCAAGCACCATCATTTGTGTAGGGACCTCCCCAGTCTGGAGAACTGGGTCCGGCTCTTCTTAGAGTCCTCCATCACAGAGAAGACCCCAATTGTCCTGGCATGATTCAACAAGGAGCTGGAACCTTGGGTCATGCAGCCCTGAATGTCCAATGCAGAATATATCCCACCTAGAGAGTGAGTCAAAGGACAGCACGCTTAAAGTCCGAAGACCCAGGAATCCAGGATCCCTCCAGGGACCCTCAGATCTAGAGACCCTGCTTAATCCCCTCCTCCCTCAGACCCAGGAATCGAGTTCCCAGCTACCACCACCCCCTTCAAACCCTTGAGTCAGGGCCTCAAGAACCCTCCCACCTCAGAACCAGTGAATCCAGGCCCCCAACCCTGCATTCTTGGGACCCGGCCATCAGCACTCACCTTCCCGGAGAGTAATGTAACCACTATAACAGTGAGTGGTGCCACTGGGGCATGTAACTTTTTCTGGGTTTTCTGGGCAGGATCCAAAGATCTGCAGACAGACGGGACACTGCAAATCTCCCGGGGCAGGGGCAGCTGAAAAGTATAGAGAAGGTGAGGGTCGATAGCTCTGCTCCTTGCTGTAACCACCCCCCTCTATCCCTGGGGTCCCTGTGTCTCCCCATGGCTCAGTGTTCATGGTCCCACCCAACCCACTGGGATTCCATACCTGAACGAGGGAGAGAGTTCAACAGGACACTGGTACTGCTGGCCCTGTTGCATCTGTTGGAGGAGCAGAAATGGGCATAGGAGGCCACCAGTACTCCAGGGGGGGCCGAGTGTATGGTGATAGTTGGGGCATCCTGCGTCCTGCCCTTGCTGCAACCTTTGCTTCCTACTATGATTGATTTGTGTCCTGAGGGGCGAGAGAGCAAAAGCTGGGCTGGGGCAGGGGGATCTTATGATCAAGGTAGAGCCAGGGACTCCCCAACCCTCAGCAGGCAGGTGGAGGGTAAGCGCAGATGCCTGATTTCTAGGGCACACTGAGTGTAGGGGGATGGCTGGGGACCCGAGCCAGCTCTGCCTTCCATCGGTTCTCCCTCAAACGTCACTTGCTCCAGCAGCTTCCCCGGACACCCGCTTTCAAGCCTGGCAACCTTCACCTAGTTCCCCCTACCTCTTTCCCCTCGGAGTGGCTCTTTTCTTCACATCTGCACCTTACTCTGTTTTGTCTGTATTTTTTGCTACCTCCCCACTGGCGTGTACAGCTGGAGGAAGGCAGACTCAAGGCGTCCATGGTGCCTTTGACAGTGCTTGACACACAGCAGATGCTCAGTAAATCTCAGATGAAATTAGTGAGGTTACTCTGTGCTGGGTGTTTTCAGCCCTTTGCGCACAGACTATGACAAGCACCTGGCAAGGTAGGTACTATTACTGCTGTCATTTCACCCCATTTCCAGAAGGGGGAACCAAGCCCCAGAAAGAGGAAGACCTGAGCTTAGAATGTGAGGCATGAGGGGAATGTGGCAGGAAATTCAGGGGACAGGACCCAGGATGGGGACACTTGGGACCCTGAGCAGCCCACGTACCTACGTCGATGAGCAGAAGTGTTTCCTGACACACCTCCCCAATGTTACAAAGCTCGTAGTTATTTGCAGTCCACTTGATGGGTGTCTGAGACAGATGTTGATGGCTGTGCAACATGATCCCCCGTTGACAGGTCAGAAAAGCTAGGGAGGAGTTGGTATGTATGGGTCCATGTAAGCCAGGGAATCAGCCATGTCTCTCCCTCTGGATACCATACTTGAGAAGGTGGCCATGTTCTTGGGTCATTCTCCAGGTGACCTGGCCACAGAGTCCCCCAATCTCAGATTTAGAAGGGACCTTGGAAGTTGGGGTCTCATCCCCATTCTTTACCCTGTTTTTGCCTGAACACCTTGGAGAGCCTTTCTCAATGATCCTTAAGGAAGAGCCCTCCTCCCTTTGGGTGTGACAGGTACAATGGCTCTTCTTTCGCCTGAGTCAAACTCTACTTCCCTTACCCATCTGGATGAGGAGGGTAGTCAGCCACCATATATTTCCATATTTTCTTTTTTTCTATTTATTTATTTATTTATTTATTTATTTATTTATTTATTTATTTATTTATTTATGATAGTCACAGAGAGAGAGAGAGAGAGAGAGAGAGAGAGAGGCAGAGACACAGGCAGAGGGAGAAGCAGGCTCCATGCACCGGGAGCCCGACGTGGGATTCGATCCCGGATCTCCAGGATCGTGCCCTGGGCCAAAGGCAGGCGCCAAACCGCTGCGCCACCCAGGGATCCCCATATTTTCTTTTTTTCTAAGATTTGTTTCTTTATTTGAGAGGGAGAGAAAGAGGGGAGCGGCTAAAGGAGAGGGAGAGAGAGAAACACAAGCATACCCCGCTGCTAAGCATGGGGCCCGACGTGGGGCTCAATCCACAACCCTGAGATCACGACCCAAGCTAAAACCAAGAGTCAGATGCTCAACCCACTGTACCACCCAGGCGCCCCCACCATATATTTCTTTTCACTGGAAACCCTATGTTCCAGGCCAAAATACTCAAATGCCTAGTGTGCACTGAGCATCTACTATGTGCCTGGCTATACTGGTTGCTTTCCACGGACTAGCTCATGTAAGCCTCCTAGGGAGCTCCCTTCACCCGGATTACCTCATTTCCTCACAGCAACCTCCAGTGTAGGTGGCATAATCATCATCACCCCACCATCAAGTTGGGAAATAGAGGCAGAGACTGGTTTAGGAGCTTGCCCTGTGTCCCACCACAAGTAATTGGCAGGGCTGAGCTCAGAACACAGGTGTTCCGTCTCCTCGAGGTGGGTGCTGACCATCCTCGGCTACCTGGGGCCAAGGTATTGAGCCCTTGGGAGTCAATTTGAAAACCATGAGCCTAGATCTTGTCTTCAGCCTTCATGTGGCCAGCAGGGATGGTTTCCTAGACGCAGAAGCACCCAGGCTGGTGAGGAGGCATCCACAAGCACGCAACCTCCACCAGCCCCAAGAGGGAGGCCTGCTCATCTCCCCACTATACAGATGACACAACCACGCTCTGTTGTCTGCTCCAAGGCTTGTCCCACTTCACGCCTCCACCCCCCTCCCCTGCCTTGCCCCCACTTCCCTATCTTGGTCAATGGCATCTCCTCTCTTGCAGCTGCTCTGGTAAAATATTGCCATCATTTTTTGGCAACTGCCTTCCTCTTAGGTTGCACCCATCAGGAAGTCCTGTGACTTCAGCCCCAAAATACCACCAGGACCTGCCAGCTTCTCACCATCTCTACTGCTTCCCCCAGGGCCAAGACCACTGGCCCTCACCTGCTTCCCCCTGATTTCCCAGCCCCACCCCCAGCAGCCAGGGGGATCCTCATTAGGGGTAAGTTGATTCATGTAGCTCCTCTGCTCAGAAGACTCCATAAGGTCCCCATCCTTCTCAGCATAAAATTCCTAGAATTTAAACTGACTGTAAAGGCTCCGGAATCTGGCTTAAATAAACATTCAGATTGCTAGTGGGTCCTCCAGCCCCAGGCTGTGCTTTTTGTGCCCCTGACACTCACCATTAGGCCTGCAGTCCTCACTCACTTTGATGGACCCAATTTCCTGAGTCCCATTAAGCAGGTCGCAGCCTGGTTGGGACGTGCATCCTTGGACTCTCAGAATTTGGAAGATATTCCCTGTGGACGGGAGCAGGGAGGGAGTAAAGGAGACGTTGCTGGCACCACCTCACCCTCGGGAGAGGCGCAGCTCTGGGAAGCCAGGCCCACCTTCCTCAGGTCCCAGCTTCTGTCCTTCACCAGAGAACCAGATCTTGGTCTTCAGACCCCCCCAATTCCACCATTTCAGCACCCCATGGGGGACCTGCTGTCCTGGCTCACCTCCTCTGATCCAGACTGCCCCACGGTAGCAGTGTGTGCTCCCAGCTGGGCAGGTCAGCTCTGTTGCAGATTCACAGTCTTCTGTAGACAAGCAGACTGGACATCGCAGGGAGCCCGGGCCTGGGGAAGTGAGAGAAGGCTCTGGATTCAGATGGAAGCCAGTTTTCCCTTACCCCCATCCCTGTTTTGCTGGTCCCTAGAAGCAACCTCCCCCGTCTCCCACAAATGCACTCTCCTTGGCTCCTCTCTTGCAGGCACACCAGGGAATCGGGGACAGGTGGCAAGGGAGAGAGCAACGGGGGAGGAGAGGGACAGGAGAACTTTGGACGGGCACCTAGGCTGGGGAACTGGGTGGGGCGAGGTTGGGGAGGGGTGCCCTGGGAGGAACCAGTGAGTTCACCTGCAGGTTCCCTGAAACACCAGACCCTGGTGTCCACAAATCATTCCAAAGAGTAAAGGAAACACAACACATTGCCCCAAACCTGATTTGTGATACCAGCAAGGATAGGAGTATAGTCCATGTCCTGTAATAATGCTGTGTGGTAACAGACGGGAGCTATATTTGTGGTGAGCACAGCGTTGGACACAGCTGTCCAATCACTGTGTTGTATGCCTGAAACTAATGTCCCATTGTGTGTCAACCAGACTCAAATAAAACTAAAGAAAAAGAAGTTACAGGTTAATTTCACTTTGGAAGAGGAATTGCCAAAACCCTAAACAAAACATGAGCAAATCAAATTCTAAATAGAAAAAGGAGGAGGTGGAGGAGGAGAAGAAGAAGAAAAGAGCATGCACCAGGTTAGGGCCATGCTACAGTCTAAGCTAGGTGTAGGAAATGAGTGTGGTTTGCTGCTCAGTGACCAATAGAAGAAGGGGTGCTGAGGGAGGGAGTCCCAGGGAGAGTGGACAGGGAGGGAGGAGGGAAGAGGGATCTAAATGGATGCTGCCTCTGTGCTCACTTCCACTCCTCAGCCCTGCTGCACCCCTGCCCCTGACAGCTCCTTCTCTTCCCTTCTGCCTCCACCTCCCAACCTCCCCTTATACCTGTGGTGGAGGGCAGGGACCAGAGTGGGAGGGTGGTAGACAGGCTGTTGCAGTTGTCTTTCTCCCGGCACACATGGGTGTAGGAGAGGATGGAGAGGCCAGGGCCTGCCCTGTGCTCCCTGATGAGGACATCCTGATCCGCCGCCGCAGTGCAGCCCTTGCTGATCACCACATTCACTTGGGGTCCTGCACCAAGAAAGAGAGGCAGACCCTAGACTCCTGAGTCTAAGGGAGGAGGGGCTGAGGGCCTGGACTCCTGCATCTGAGGGAGGAGGGGCTGGGGGCGTGGACCCCTGGGTCTGAGGGAGGAGGGGGCTGGGGATCAGGACTCCGGGGTCCTAGAGGGAAAGTCTGCATGGTGGTCTAGGGTGAGAGGCTGGAGAGGTGACTGGGTGCCCCAAGGGCTGTTCCTGCTGAGGAGAGGACAGCTCCTTGGCTGGGGACAGGGGGGCTTCTGAGTCCCTACAACAGAGTACAGTAGGACTGGACAGGGAGGGATGTCTCTCCTGGAAGAGGGTGGAAGTCGAGCATGGGGCCCACAGGGCCCTTCTTACCATTCTCAATGAGGATCAGTGTGTCTTGGCAACCCCAGCCATCTTCACATGACTCCTGGCCAGCCGTCCACTCAAGGGGCAGTTCCAACACATCTCTCAAAGAATTATGTGTCCCCGACTGACAGGTCAGGGCCTGCACTCCTGAGATGGGAAGAGAAATCCGTCTGAGCCCATCCTCTAGGAAAACACCCTCCCAGGTTGGGGTCCTCACTCACGGGGCAGCATGAGGGTCACGCCCAGGAGAGCCAGCTGCAGGGCAGGGCTCATGATGAGGGCAGCTGGAACTCTTGCTCCTGGGCTTTCTCCCGGGTACCCAGACCTTTTATATCTTGCCAGAAAAAGGAAGGAGGGAGAGCCTTGATAGAGGAAGTCTAGGCCCAGCCTGAGTCTCACTGGATAAGAAATCGGGTCCTCCTTCCTTCCCTGGACCCAGGAGTCCAGGCCCCCTGACCGCCCCCCCCCAGCAGTTAGAAACATCGCAGACCCCAGGCCCCATTGGTCCAGCTCTCGAGTCCCCTTTCCTCCTGAGCCCCACTAGGCAGGTGTCCACCCCCATGCTGTTTCAGGGTAGTATGGCAAGGCAGTTGCCTCACACCAGTCTGGCACCTTCTGGCCCCAGGTGGGGATATGGCCCAACTACCTGTGATGACATTGTGTGGTGGCCCCTGTGGGCACTGACAACTCCCTGCTCTAACCTCTGCCTGCCATGGATTCTTGCTCCTCATTTATCTCTTTCCTTCTTGCATTGCTTGCCATTTTATTCCCTCTCCCCACCCTGATGTTCCCTCCTGCTTTCTCTTCCTCTGTTCTCCCCACTCCAAGCCCAATCCAGGCCCCAGACTTTATTTTTATTTATTTGAGAGAAAGCATGAGCAAGAGAGAGAAAGCACAGGAGCAGAGGCAGAGGAGGGAGCTAGACACAGAGCTAGATCCCAGGACCCTGAGATCATGACCTGAATTGAAGGCAGATGCTTAACCAGCTGAGCCACCCAGGTGCCCCACCACCACCAGGCCACCAGGGAACTGAAGTTCCAGGCTGGGGAGAGAGGTGATTGTGGAAAATGAATCTCTGTCAAAGACAGGATATTCCTGGGCAGCCCCAGTGGTACAGAGGTTTAGCGCCGCCTGCAGCCCGGGGTGTGGTCCTGGAAACCCAGGATCGAGTCCCAGGTCGGGCTCCCTGCATGAAGCCTGCTTCTCCCTCTGCCTGTGTCTCTGCCTCTGTGTGTGTGTGTGTGTGTGTGTGTGTGTGTCTCATGAATAAATAATTTTTTAAAAAAATAGACAGGATGAAGAGCAGGTGATGTGAAAGTAAGTGACTGAACTGGATCAGGGGAGGCCTCCCAGAGGAGGTGACCTGTGAGCTAAGACTGAATGAAAAGAAAGTGCTAGTTATGGAAGCTATGCGGGCAGGCATTCCAAACAGAGCGAAGAGCAGGTGCAAAAGCCCTGAGGTGGGACCACTCCTGGCTTATGTAAGGATTAGAAAGCAGGTGACTCGGCTGCAGAGAAGGAAGGGGGAAGTGATGGGTGTTGAGAGTGGAGAGGTTGGCAGGGGCCTGACAGCGCAGGCCTGAGTCAGGATATTCAGGCAACTCTCCTGTGCGTCCCACATATTCCAAGGGGCAAATGCAAGGCTGGGCATGGAGCTATTTAGTAAAAAGCTTACAGTTGTAGGTATGTGAAACTCTGTTTGCTACCAGGCTGGTCCATTGCTCCGTGATTATGTAGCCTTGGGTCATTCACTTTGCCTCTCCCAATAGCCTCATCCTCCTCTGTAAAGTATGAATGATGATGATCAATACATCGTGGGCTGCTCATGGGCCTTGAAGCTGGGAGGTGGGGGTCCATTTGAGAAGGACTGTGCAATACAACCACAGGTGTAGACAGTGACTATTCTCCTAGACCAGAAAGACAGGGAGCCATTGATGCAGGGAAGTTGGGCACTGGTCAAAGGCTCAAATGCTCAGGACTTGCAGGGGTTCTTTGGATGATGGCTCTGGACGTTAATCTCTGCAGTAAAGGTCCCACAGAGAAGCACTCCCACCCTGTCCTAAAATATAGTTCAGAGGGACCTGGATCATCTGAGTTTCTTTTTTTTTTTCATCTGAGTTTCTACAGCACATTGCACTGTGCTAAATCATTGATGGATGTATGTTATCCATCATAACATAATGGATGGATATTATCCATTCTGAGAAATGGATGAAAAAGAGGTAGCAAGCCTCCTTGATGATTCAGGAATAAGACATGTGTATGCCAAAGTGTGGGAAACAAGCACCCCCCTCATGTTGGTATAAATCATAGGAGCCTAGCTCTAAGGCATGTCCCAAAACAGTAGCCCCTCTCTGTATCTGCAGGAGACATTCTTTTTTTTTAAGATTTGTTTATTTATTCATGAGATACACAGAGAGACAGGAAGAGGCATTGGCAGAGGGAGAAGGACTTGATCCCAGGACCCCAGGACCACGATCTGAGCCAAAGGCAGATGGTCAACCACCAAGCCACCCAGGTGCCCCTGGAGGAGACATTCTAAAGCCCCCAGTGGATGCCTGAAACTGTGGTAGTACCAAGCTCTATATGTACTATGCTTCTTTCCTATCCATACATATGTATGATAAAGTTTAATTTCCAAGTTAGGGGCAGTAGGAGGTTAATAACAATGACTAATAACAAAATAGACCAATTATGACAATATACCACAATAAAAGTTAGGTGAATGTGGTCTCTCTCCCTCAAAACATCTTATTGTACGGGACTCACCCTTCTTTGTGTGATGATGTGAGATGATAAAATGCCCACATGATGAGGCGTAAGGAGGGGAAGGACACAGGCCTGGTGACACAGCGTTCAGCCAGTCCTGACCTTTCCCCACATGTAAGAAGAGGAATCATCCAGGGCACCTGGGTATCTCAGTCAGTTAACTGTCTGCCTTTGGCTGAGGTCATGATTTCAGGGTCCTGGGATGGAGCCCCGCGTTGGGCTCCCTACTCTGCAGGGAGTCTGCTTCTCCCTCTCCCACTGCTCCTTCTGCTCATGGTCTCTCTCTCTCCTCAAATAAATAAAATAAGAAAGAAAGAAAGAAAGAAAGAAAGAAAGAAAGAAAGAAAGAAAGAGAGAGAGAAAGAAAAGAAAAGAAAAGAAAAGAAAAGAAAAGAAAAGAAAAGACTTCTAAAAAGGGGGGGGAGGGGATCATCTGGTTCCAGACCACAGCTTACTGCAGGGAACTGAAACTGGGTGGGGGGACTGCTGTATCCCTTCTGAGACAATTTGCTACACCCCGTGTGGTTGTCTTTAGACAAAGGGTCACTTAAGATTTGTTGGGGTGGAGGGATGAGTGCATTTTAACCTGTGACTCCTAGTCATCTCTGCGAGATCCCACAAGACTACCAGGTTTGAGTAGATCCTTGAGTAGGAAAGGAGTCTAACGAAAGCCACGTAATCCAATGGACCCAATGTCCATTGAAAGTTTCTGTGACCTAAAGAAATCATAGGATAATCATAATGAGAAACTCATTATGATTTGGAGCAAAGGTTTTGGAGCAAAGGTATGTCTCCATCTACAAATAACTACCCTCCATTTGGAAGGCAGCTCCTGGCTTATTACTGTGTCCCAGGGGAGTCTGAATATTGGACTACAGGCCACCAAGGGCATTGTGACCTGAACTGCAAATCACATAGTGCGTGCTGTCTGAGCTACCAAACCATGACACTGGGCATGCACAGCAGCATCCATCATCCACGGGAAAGGTGTGTATGGTGTGTACAGAATCAGGCTCTTGCAGGTCCAGAGGGCACCAGTGAATGCCCCAGTAGGTGGCTCAGATGCTCATGATGTCTACTTCTGCTGCCTCTTTCTCTGCTTGCACCTGTGGGTTCGTGGGGATACCCTGTAATCTGTTTACAGAGAAGAGATAGAGCGGCACCTGGGTGGGTCTGTCAGTTAAGTGTCTGCCTTCGGCTCAGGTCATAATCTCAGGGTCCTGGGATCCAGCCCCAAGTCAGGCTCCCTGCTCAGCAGGGTATCTGCTTCTCCTTCTCCCTCTGCTACTTCCCTTGCTTGTGCTCTCTCGCTCTATCTCAAATAAGTAAATAAAATCTTTTTTAAAAAATGAAAGAACCAATCCTGCCAACACCTTGATTTTGGGCTTCCAGCCTCCAGAAATGTGATGATAATACCTTTCTATTGTGTAAGCTTCCCAGGCTGTGGTACTTAGTTATGGCACCCCAGAAAACAAATCCACAGGCCAAGAGCCAATTCCGGGTGATCTGCACTATAGGAGCTAGAAGCCAGCTCTGGTGTCAGGCCTGGAGGCAGGGCAAGTGTGAGACAGAGATGGGAAGGGATGAGGGAGGGTCCCAGAGCCTAAGGGACAGAGTCCTTGGGACCAGAGCTACCTCTTCATATTAATATTAACTGTCCTTAATGTTTTTATTAATAATATATTAATAATTATTAATATTAATATTGTACTTAATATTAACTGTCCCCAATTGAAAGTTTTTAATAAATTTTTACATAAAATTAAGAGCTTTTACTAACACCATTCTGACTGAGCATTTTCTCTATTAAAAGTAAATATTTATTTATAGCTTAACTTCTAGGAATAGTAACTATTCTCAAAGTACACAAAGGGTACTTCATGTTTGGATGCTGAGAGTTGAGGTGGGTAGTGGCTTGGATTTCTGGGTCCAGGTGACAAGTAGGCTGGGACTTCAGTCCTTGAGTCTGAGGGAGGAGGGGCCTGGGAGCCTGGACCCCTGGGTCAGAGGGAGGAGGGGGCTGGGGGCCTGGACTCCTGGGCCTGAGGGAGGAAGGGGCTGGGGGCCTGGACTCCTGGGTCTGAGAAAGGAGAGGGCTGGGGGGCCTGGACTCCTGGGTCTGAGGGAAGAAGGGGCTGGGAATACAGACCCACAGATTCCTGAGAGATGAGAAAAATGGGTGTCAGGCATCATGCACCCAGTATTTAAAGTGAATTTCTTACTACTTTTTCTCTTACTTTACTCCTGGAAGCAATACCGAAACCACGGTGAGCACTAAAACCTGCCTATCCTGTAAGCCTGTTCCTTGTTAAAGGGCATTAATTAAGACAGTCCCTTGGTTATTCAAAGAACTGCCAGAACTTCCAGAATATGCCAGTCAGACAGTGAGGACAGAATCAGCCATGATTCTGGCTACCATGATACTACCAAGACGCTACCATGATAACAGAGTCCTCCAGCGAAGTCTGTGGGCCCTGCCCTGGTCTGGCTGCTGGGGCAAGACTGGTATTGGCCATGGCCCTTTTGTAAGGGGTTTCATCCTTTCCTGCCTCCTAATGATCCCAAAGCATCCTGTTCTGCAGTCCCAGTATCTAAAGGCATCTGACACCTAATTATTTCTCATCCCTTCCAGGAAACACACGCCTATTCTTAGTGTGGGAAATGTTAAAACATGAAAATAATTAGAGGCTACAATATAACCTAATTGTAGCTCTTTTGTCCTGGATTAATTCATCTTTGAGAACATTTGGGCAGATTCTAAAAGGCCATAATATTCTTCTTGATCTAGCTAAATTGCTTTCTCTTAATATTTGTATTAACTGTCCCTAGTTTGTTTGTTTAAGTTCTGATTGTGGTATTTTCTCTATTAAAAATAAATATTTGGTGAGCCTGGGTGGCTCAGTTGATGAAGCATCTGCCTTCAGCTCAGGTCATGATCTCAGGGTCCTGGGATCTAGCCCCACCCTGGGCTCCCTGCTCAGCGGAGAGCCTGCTTCTCCCTCTCCCTGCCACTCTGCCTACTTGTGCTCTCTCAAATAAATAAATAAAGATCTTTTTAAAAAATTCATTTACACCACAGCACTCACAGAAACAGCACCGTCTGAGAGTACACAAAGTGCCCCTGTGCTTCATGTTACATATAGATAGATCTATCTGAAAAGCTGACATATATATATATGAAATGGAATTTCCAGCCATGGACAAGAAATCTGAGTAAAATCCGTGGCGGTGCCCTGGCCACGCGGGTGGGCGACAACTCCCAGTCACTGTGCACGCACACATTCAAGGGCGCTGGAAATACGTCTGAAGGCAGCAGTTCTCTATTCAACCTTCCAGAAGACCATGGAGGGGGCTGGGCAGGCACCACTGCAAGTGAAGGTGGGGAGGCCAAGCTGCCCCCAGTGGCTACAGCCACCGTGAGGGTGCTGAGGCAGGGCCCAGGCTGGAAACACGGGAGGCCATTTGGGAAGAGAGGGTCGTTCACTGGGGGTTGGCCAAGGGTGTGACCTCCTACCGCGCTGGAGAGGCCAACTCCGTGGCCCAATGAGAAAAAATGGTCACGGAGGCCGCTTTGGGACGCACGCCGCGCCGGCGCCGCCAACTCACCAGCGACCTTCCCCCGCCCCCTGCTCCTTCGCCACTCTGCGCATGCGTACCTCCCAAGATTTCCAGGAACAGGCTTCTCCAGGGCCAATGGGGTGTGGCGTTCCTTCAGGTTCATCCAATGAGCTCATCAGATGATTTCACATCAACCAATGGGGCTTCGAGTGGCCTGCTGGGCAAAGTTGGTCCCGCCTTCCGTGTCTTTGAGAGACGAAGCCGCATCGGAGCGGAACCAGCGGCGCGTTCGAAGTCGTTCCTTCAGCGCCGCGAGATTCTTGTCAGGTTATCTGAACGCCAGGTGGAATTTGTGTCCCTGAAAGAGAAAAGGGAGGACTGGGGACCCAGATTCCTGGATCCTGAGGAAAGAAGAGGGGGCAGGACTCCTGGGTCTGAGAGGGGAGGGGGTCGGGGGGAGGGGCGTGTAGAATCCGGGTCCTGAGGGAAATGGCGGCTGGAACCCAAAGCCCTGGATCTCTAGGTAGAACAGGGCTGGGATCTCAGAATCCCGAGTTCTGGGGAGCTGAGAATCCCGGGGCTTGGAAGAACGTGGGCTTGAACCCGGCCGCCTGAGTCCGAGGCCGGAGGGGTGACTGGGCTGCACCCCGGATCCCGAGGTTGGAGGGCAGTGGCCGTTGAACATCTGTGTCTCCGGGGAATAGGGGTTTGGGTCGGAGGGTTGCTGTAGAAACTGAGGCACAGTAAACCGTGCTAATGTGCTCAAGGGGGCAGGCTAGTCAGGGCCCCCTCACCCCGACTGCGGAGGCCACGGCCTTGACCTTCCGCAGCACAGGCTGCGCCCGCAGTGTCAGTACTCGCCAGAAGGTCCATGCCGCTTCATTCTGTGAGGCCGAACAGACCCCCTCTTCTCTTTCAAACCCCAGATCCTTAGCCGCTCTTCTGAGCCGAGCTGCTCTGAAAGACGCCATGGGAACCGGTCATGTGCAGAGTTTGCTCTTCCTCCTCCTCCTCCTCGGGGCCCCCTCCTTGGCCTGTAAGGATGCGGGGCTCGGGGACGAGGGGAAGGAGATGGTTCACAGAGGATGCACCCCTGGGGAAGAAGGACTGGGGGCAGGGGGTGGCTCCCCCAGAGGGGGGCAAGTGCCTACCTTGGTCTCATTTCCTCCCCAGCCGAACCTGATTTCTACTGTCACAAGGGCGTATCGATGAGCATAGTAAAGGACCCAAAGAGAACGTTTAATTGGACCACCGACAAAGTTGAGACTTGTGACAGTGGGTCATTCTGCCAGGAATCCCTTTTGATGATTAAATCAGGTAAAGCCAGAAAGGGCAGTTGGGTTGGGTGGGAGGAAGAGTGAGTATGTCCTCCCCAGTGCTGTTCCTCCTCCCACCCCCACACCCCCAAAACTGTAGGCCCACCATCCACTTTCTCTCCTTCCTGTCTCCAAACAGGGGCCAAGACAGCCATTTTGGCCACTAAGGGCTGCGTCTCGGAGGGGACACAGGCGATAACGTACATCCAGCACTCCCCACCGCCAGGCATCATCACAGTCTCCTACAGCAGCTACTGTGAGGAGTCCTTGTGCAACAGCAAGGAGAACTTACTGCAACTGTGGAGGGAGGAAGAGCCCCAAGGTAGGTTGGGAGGTGACACATGGGGACTGAGAAAAATGAGGTAAACCCCTGAAAAGATCGTGGGGCTTCCTGCTCTGTGTTCTTACTTGGTTCAGGCCCAGTGGGGCCATATGTAGAAAAGCCTCAGAGCTTTTGCCTGACTTTTTTTTCCAAATTGTTACCTTGGGGTCTAAACATTGCTCAGAGCACTAGGATGTCAATGAAGCCTGGGGTGTAAGTTGGGCTTTGGGTTTATTAAGCAATAAAGTGTCATTAGAGGTTTCCATGCTGGATGGTTTGGCATAGTCCGTCTGGCAGCCCCTGCTTCCCTGATTTGGCCAGGCCCTATAGCAATCTGGCCTTGCCTACCTTTTCAGTTCACTTCCTTCTCTTCCTTCCCTATTTATTGGGTTCCAGCTGGGGCCAGTATTTGAAATAGTTAACAACAGATATGGTACTGGCCGGTCAGAATGTGTGCTGGCCATAAAGAAAACAGTCCAGCCCCGTGTGTGCCTACCAACTGAATACCAACACCGCAGTGTCTCACAGTCCCTGAAACCTGACACGCTGCTCTCACCTCCAGGCATTTGTCCTTGCTGTTTCCTGTGCCACCCCACCCAACTTCCATTTTCACTCACCTAACCTCTCTTCACCCTCCACCTCAACTCAGATGTCCACGCTGTGAAGATAATAGGCAAATTCTTCCAGATAGATACTCCCCCCTCCATTCCTTTACCATTACCTTGGACACAGTGCCTCCTGAGATGTACTATAATGACTACATGTCCATCTCCTTCTAGACAGTGATCTCGATGGCAGGAACTGGGTCCTTTTAATCTCTGTCTCCACATCTAAGCACACAGTTTGGAAGTCATGTTGGAGGGTTCTGATAGCAAAGAGAATCAGCTGGAGAGGCATGGGGGGGTGGCAGTGATAGGCCTTGGTGATGGTAGTATCAGCAGCAAAGACTTGGGGAAGAGAAAGAAGCAAGAAGAGACAACTCCAGACGTAGAACATACCCCAATTGTTATTCTCTTCCTCCCTCCAGCTGCCAGCAGGTCAGCACACCTCTACTGCCCAACCTGCGTGGCTCTGGGGGCCTGTTCAAATGCTCCTTCTCTTCCCTGTCCCAATGATACAGTTCAGTGCTATCAAGGAAGACTTCAGATCACTGGAGGTAAGCTGGACATCTGATGGTTTCAGAGGCTGGAAAATCAGGCATCTGAGTGATCCCCAGAAGTTCTGACACTCAGGGTTCTAGCAGTGAGGCAGGACTTCTGCCTCTCTGATTTCCTAAAAGAGCTGTGTATCTCCCCATCCGTTCTTGTTCCACAGGAGGCATCAACTCACTTTTGGAGGTCAAAGGCTGCACTTCTGTAACTGGCTGCAGACTGATGTCTGGGATCTTTACAGTAGGGCCCATATGGGTGGAGGAAGTCTGTCCATACCGGTCTGTACTTCAACCCCGAAAGATTGAAAACCGGGCTGCCTGGCTTCCTGTTTACATTTGGAGATTAGAGCTAGTGCTGCTGCTATTACTACAGTGACTTGTCCATTGTTCCTGGAATGTGAAGGCGCTTCTGGTCCTGGATAATAGGATGTGTCTTCCAACTGGGAGCCTTTCTGACTGCTGGTCATAAACAAATTGAGGAGCAAAGTGGAGAGCTGAAGAACAGAGAGTTCTTGTGGATGTATTCTTATATTTTTATTAAAGTTTCTACTGTGTTTGGTGTATAACCCAAGACTAGAAGTGGAGTTTTAGTCCTGAAGAGGCCCTTAAAATCCACCGTCTCCAACCCATACATGTTACAGAAAGGGAATCAGAGGCCTGGAAAACTTGAGTGAGGGTCTCACACTGACATAGCTATGGGCAGAGCAAGACCAGAACTTTGAATCTTTGACCTAGAGTCTGGTTTCCCTTTCACTCTAACTGGTCACCTTCTCTTGCTGACTGGGCAGGAGATCAGCATAAACCTCCTCCAGAGCACTCTGAGCCCAACCTTCAGGCCACAGTTGGCTGCTTTGGTTCTAACATTTCCCCGGGAAGTATTGAGGAATTTGAAAAATCAGGCTCCACATTCTTCTGTTATAACAAACTCCATCTCCTATGTCCTGTCTCTTGCCCCTTGACATCATCCCTTCCCTTCTCTGCTGCCTACTTCATACATCTTCAGTGGACACAGGGAACGTAGGAGACAGCTGGAGCACAGCAGGGTATGAGGAGTGGGACCTGGGACTCTCAAGGAGTAGATTTGGTTTTGGCTTCTCATGATTATTTTATTACTAAAGAACACATAAAGCCCATCTAACTATAAGACTCCAATGATAGAGGAGCCACACAGGGAAAAGTAAAAGGTGGGGAGAGGATAAGAGGGAACAGACATTTATTTAAATAGTTTTATTGAGGCATAATTGACGTAGTCAACTGTACCAGGGGTGAAGGAGACTTAAGGCAAACTATTGACCCCTCCCACAAAGGACAGGGGAGTCCGGCCACAATATAGTCCAGCCAAGTTTTTAAGAAAGTCCTCCAGTTCTAAACCAACTCTTTGGGTTAAAGCCTCACACCAGCTAATACTTTATCTTTGTCCCTAGGCACCCAGTTCCCCATCATGTCAGTTTGCAAGAGGAAGCACAAACAAATGAAATTTGAATTTAATGAGGGGACATATAAGTTTCTGAAATAATAAGCATTCAGAACCATGGCTGGTAAATGCCACCTATGGCAAACAAAACCAAGAACAAAAACAAAACCAAGTAAGATATTTCCCTCAGGACAATGGCTTTCTGAGGGCACTGAGGACAGTCACAGGAGAATTCCCTGAGTGAATGGAAGAATGACACAATTTTCTAAAATCTGGCCTGTGGATTACTTTGGTACTTTAAAAATTATGTGTATCCTATGCCAAAGATACAACACAGGCAAATTTCTCAGGCAGCCAACTCAAGTGTGCAAACCTTCTAATAATATATTTACATAAATATATATAATATAAAAGTATTTTAATACTTTTGTTCATAACAACCCCTCATCTGACCCAGTGGTAGGTAGAAACTTAACCAGTGTGAATAAACTCAGCCACTCCGGGGCCTTCTTTTCCACTTTCCTCACCCAGGGCTTGGCTGCAGGACTGGTGGGAAGGAAGTAAGTATCTAGGTACTTAGGAACTGATGCCTGGTACTTGGCTTCCATTCCTGCCAGCGTTCACTGGGAACCTCCCACCCTGTCTGGTCACTGATGGTCATCTAACGTGGACCCTCTTAACTCTGCCATCCTCTCTCAGCTACTTCAGGGCCTCTTCCAACAGCTTTCAAGTCCACTGCAGTGCTTCAGGGCTCTGGGGGTGTAGAGGCATCCCAGATAGCTGATGAAATTCCAAGAACTGGAGAAAAGATCATTGCACAGAGAACTGCTTCCTCCCTAGGTACTAGGAAAGAGATGGGGCCTAACCCCTGGGATTTATCATCCACCTTACATGGACCCCTATTACATGTTCTTCTCAAATCTATTATTTTTTGCAACAACCATGCCATAAGGCTTTCATTCTTGGACCGAAACGTGAAAATTCCAGGTCTACCAAATCAAAAGTTGGGCTTTCAGAATTATTGTCTGCCTCAGTTTACATAAGCCTACTTTGAAACTTCAAGGCTGAACATTAAGATATTTCTGGTTCTGGGATCCCTGGGTGGCGCAGCGGTTTGGCGCCTGCCTTTGGCCCAGGGCACGATCCTGGAGACCCGGGATCGAATCCCACGTCGGGCTCCCAGTGCATGGAGCCTGCTTGTGTCTCTGCCTGTGTCTCTGCCTGTCTCTCTCTCTCTCTCTCTCTCTCTCTCTCTCTCTCTCTCTGACTATCATAAATAAATTAAAAAAATTTAAAAAAAAGATATTTCTGGTTCTTTGCATGTCTATGGTAATGTCCCTACTAACTGAGGGACAAGGAGCAAGGGAAGTGGTAGGGCAGCCTGGGTGGCTCAGCGGTTTAGCGCCACCTTCAGCCAGGGCCTGATCCCGGGATCAAGTCCCACATTGGGCTCCCTGCATGGAGGCTGCTTCTCCCTCTGCCTGTGTCTCTGCCTGTGTGTGTGTGTGTGTGTGTGTGTGTGTGTGTGTGTGTGAGATTAATAAATAAAATCTTTTGAAAAAAGAATTGGAGAGAAAGGAGACAACAGTAACAATGAAATATAACCCTGCTATACACCTATTCATTCACTGGTCTGGATTTAGCCTCTGTCCTCACACATAATGCTCGCTTCAGGGCTTTGGCTCATATACTTCTCCCCCTGAAATTCCATCTCCCCTTCCAACCCGCCAGCCAGGAAAGCCTCGCTAGACATCTCACTACCAATTCTAGCAGATGTGACTTCTCTGACATCCACTGTTCTCCCTCCACAGAGCCCCAGCACAGTGACTCACCTTACTTCATTACTTTTCTGCTTCCCACACAAAGTATCTTCTCTCTTGAGAAGGTAACAGCACCTCGGGCACAGGCCTTGTTTCCAACAGCTTCACAACAGTACCCATAAGATGTGGCCAGCAAACTGATGCTATGGTTTCTTCCAGAACTGCCTGCTGAAGTGAACCAAATTTCCATTAAACACATACACACTCCTCTCCAACAACTAAACTGACCACCACAAAAAAAATAAAAATAAAAATAAACTGACCACCACAAACTGTAGCCAATTACCTCAAGCTTGGTGCTAATATGGAGGGGGGAAAAGCAGTGGGTCCTATAGGGTAGAGAAGAAGAGAGGCAGAAGCTTAGGAAGGATGGACACTGAAAAAAAAGTAAGAATTTGAAGATTCCTCTCCCTATTTCCTTAATGGTGTTATAGTGGCCAGGTGAACACATCCAGGTTTGGGGCAGTGATGTCAGAGTGGGAGGTCAGTTTTGATCAGAAGCTAGGAAACTAGTTGTTTAGGTTGTTTTATTATTTAATGTTAATTAAAGTAATAATTTATTGGACACTAAATCTGTTTCTTCCTCTATAAGCAGAACCTTAGGAATACAATTTGTATAATACCACTATATATTTCTGGTGAAGGGTTGGAAGTAACTTAAATATCCATGACTAAGAGAATGGATAAGCAAAATGGCATACATATTCTTTGGATGTGCAACCTTATTAAACCACAGCACTATGTTTAAAAAAAAAAAAAAATTAAGAAGCCGGGTGGCTCAGCAGTTTAGTGCTGCCTTCAGCCCAGGGCCTGATCCTGGAGACCCAGGATTGAGTCCCACATCGGGCTCCCTGCATGGAGCCTGCTTCTTCCTCTGCCTGTGTCTCTGCTCTCTCTCTCTCTCTCTCTCTCTCTCTCTCTCTGTCTCATGAATAAATAAATAAAATCTTTTTTAAAAAAGGTAAGAAAATTCTTTTGCAACAAAATCACTTGTATAAGTTAATACCACAAACAAAATACAAAAGTTCATTCACCCAAAACTCCCTCATTCTATTCCTTTGTGACCCCATCATCCCCTCATTCCAGTCCTGGACAACCAGGACTGGATCTGTTCTCCATCACTATACATTTGCCTTTTTGAAAATGGCATAAAAATGGAACCACATAGTATGGAACCTTTGAGACCAGCTACTTTCACTCACTATTCATGCCTCTGAGATTCATCCATTTTTTTAAAGACTATTTATTTATTTATTCATGAGAGACACAGAGAGAGGCAGAGACACAGGCAGAGAGGGAGAAGCAGGCTCCATGCAGGGAGCCTGAGGCGGGACTCGATCCCAGGTCCCTAGGATCACACCCTGAGCCAAAGACAGGAGCTAAACTGCTGAGCCACCCAGGCTGCGGGATTCATCCATATTGTGTGTGTAATTGACAGTTTTTTCCTTTTTAGCAACAAATATCACCCCATCGTATGTATGGACATACTCCAGTTTATCCATTAATCCACTGAAGATGTTTGGGTTGTTTTAGTTTGGGGTAGTAATGAATTAAACTGCTATAAACATTTGTGTAGGGATCCCTGGGTGGCGCAGCAGTTTGGCGCCTGCCTTTGGCCCAGGGCGCGATCCTGGAGACCCGGGATCAAATCCCACGTCGGGCTCCCGGTGCATGGAGCCTGCTTCTCCCTCTGCCTATGTCTCTGCCTCTCTCTCTCTCTCCCTTCTGTGTGACTATCATGAATAAAAAATAAAAATAAATAAATAAATAAAAAACATTTGTGTATAGGATTTTTGATAAACATAGAATTTTATCTCCATGATAAATACTTAGGAGTGGGATTGCCGGGTCATAAGACAAGAGTTTGTTTAACTTTACAAAAAATGGAGAAACTGTTTTCCAGAGTGCTTGTATATATTTTTATTACCATCAGCAATGTATGAGAATCCTAGTTTCATAGTTTCCAGAATATAGATATTGTATATATGTTATTAGATTCATATTCATTTCATTTTTTGGAACTATTATAAATAGTACTCCTACAATTTCAGTTTTCAATTTTTCATTGGTAGTATACAGAATAAATGCAATTGATTTTTGCATGTTGATCTATATCCTACAACCTTGCTAAATTCATTTATTAGTTCTAGCAGCTTTATTTTTTTTTTGTAGATTCCATGGAATATTTTCAGATTCCATGGAACTTTGCTAGACAATCATGTCATTTGCAAATAGGGACAGTTTTATTTTTTTCCTTTCCAATATGTAGGCCCTTTATTTCTTTTCCTTTTCTTATTGCACTGGTTAGAATTTCTAGTATGATGAATAAAAGTAGAGAGAGGAACATTTTGCTTTGTTCCCAATTTTGGAAGTTTCTTTAAGAATTGAACATACAGGGATCCCTGGGTGGCGCAGCGGTTTAGCGCCTGCCTTTGGCCCAGGGCGCGATCCTGGAGACCTGGGATCGAATCCCACGTCGGGCTCCCGGTGCATGGAGCCTGCTTCTCCCTCTGCCTGTGTCTCTGCCTCTCTCTCTCATTCTGTGTGACTATCATAAATAAATAAAAAAATTAAAAAAAAAGAATTGAACATACATGTACTACAAAGCTGTGGTCATCAGGACAGTGTGGTACTGGCACAAAAACAGACACATAGATCAATGGAACAGAATAGAGAACCCAGAAGTGGACCCTGAACTTTATGGTCAACTAATATTTGATAAAGGAGGAAAGACTATCCATTGGAAGAAAGACAGTCTCTTCAATAAATGGTGCTGGGAAAATTGGACATCCACATGCAGAAGAATGAAACTAGACCACTCTCTTTCACCATACACAAAGATAAACTCAAAATGGATGAAAGATCTAAATGTGAGACAAGATTCCATCAAAATCCTAGAGGAGAACACAGGCAACACCCTTTTTGAACTTGGCCACAGTAACTTCTTGGAAGATACATCCACGAAGGCAAAAGAAACAAAAGGAAAAATGAACTATTGGGACTTCATCAAGATAAGAAGCTTTTGCACAGCTAAGGATACAGTCAACAAAACTAAAAGACAACCTACAGAATGGGAGAAGATATTTGCAAATGACATATCAGATAAAGGGCTAGTTTCCAAAATCTATAAAGAACTTATTAAACTCAACACCAAAGAAACAAACAATCCAATCATGAAATGGGCAAAAGACATGAAGAGAAATCTCACAGAGGAAGACATAGACATGGCCAACATGCACATGAGAAAATGCTCTGCATCACTTGCCATCAGGGAAATACAAATCAAAACCACAATGAGATACCACCTCACACCAGTGAGAATGGGGAAAATTAACAAGGCAGGAAACAACAAATGTTGGAGAGGATGCGGAGAAAAGGGAACCCTCTTACTCTGTTGGTGGGAATGTGAAATGGTGCAGCCACTCTGGAAAACTGTGTGGAGGTTCCTCAAAGAGTTAAAAATAGACCTGCCCTACGACCCAGCAATTGCACTGCTGGGGATTTACCCCAAAGATTCAGATGCAATGAAACGCCAGGACACCTGCACCCCGATGTTTCTAGCAGCAATGTCCACAATAGCCAAACTGTGGAAGGAGCCTCGGTGTCCATCGAAAGATGAATGGATAAAGAAGATGTGGTTTATGTATACAATGGAATATTACTCAGCCATTAGAAACGACAAATACCCACCATTTGCTTCAACGTGGATGGTACTGGAGGGTATTATGCTGAGTGAAGTAAGTCAATCGGAGAAGGACAAACAGTGTATGTTCTCATTCATTTGGGGAATATAAATAATAGTGAAAGGGAATATAAGGGAAGGGAGAAGAAATGTGTGGGAAATATCAGAAAGGGAGACAGAACATAAAGACTCCTAACTCTGGGAAACGAACTAGGGGTGGTGGAAGGGGAGGAGGGCAGGGGGTGGGGGTGAATGGGTGACGGGCACTGAGGGGGACACTTGACGGGATGAGCACTGGGTGTTATTCTGTATGTTGGTAAATCGAACACCAATAAAAAATTAATTTATTAAAAAAAAGAATTGAACATACACTTATCATAAGATTCAGCCTTTTCTTTCTAAGGTACTACCATTCCTCGCCTCAAAAAAAACCCCAAAAGTGTATGTCTATACAAAGATTTTTTTTAAGACTTTATTTATTTATTCATGAGAGACACAGAGAGAGAGGCAGAGACACAGGCAGAGGGAGAAGCAGGCCCCTTGCAGGGAGCCTGATGTGGGACACAATTCCAGAACTCCAGGATCCACACCCTGAGCTGAAGGCAGACGCTCCACCACTGAGCCACCCAGGCATCCCCTATACAAAGATTTTTATACAAATGTTCATAACAGCCTTATTTTTAAGAGCCCCAAACTGACAACAACTCAAATACCCATCAACAGTGAAAGAATAAATAACAATATATCTTTATAATGGAATACTACTCAGTGAAGAAAAAGGAAAAGACTATTGATACATACAGCAACGTGGATGAATCTCAAAATGATTATCCAGAATGAAAGAAGATAGGGAGGAAAGGGAGTATGTACTGTATGGTTCACATACAACTTTAGAGGATAAAAACTAAAGCTACAGTGACACAGCAGATCTGTGGTTATCTGGAATGGAATTGGGGAGGAATGGACTATAAAGGAGTATAAAAAACTTTTGGAGTGGTAGATATGTTTGTAGTCTTGACTGTGGTGATAGGAAAGCTATCATATATGGTATACATATATGTCAAAAATCACCAAGTTGCAGCCTTTAAATATATGCAGTGTACTATATTTCAATCATACTTCAATAAAGCTGTAAAAAAAAAAAGGACAAACAGTAATACTGTAATAGTTCAACTGTTTTTCAGTCCTACTCTAGGACTTGACAAGTTAGAGTAGACAAGGGTGCCTAGGTGGCTCAGTCAGTTAAGTGTTGCCTTCAGCTCAGGTCATAATTGCAGAGTCCTGGGAGGGAGCCCCACATTGGGCTCCCTGCTTGGCAGGGAGTCTGCTTCTTCCTCTGCCCCTCACCCCACTTGTGCTCTCTCTCGCTCACTTGCTCTCTCTCTCTCTCTCTCAAATAAATAAAATGTTTTTTAAAAAATTTAGAGTAGACAGTCAAGAGTAGCGATGGAAGAGAGAATTATTATACCAAGAAAATTAACTCTGTGTTTGGTGGTCTGCCAGGTTCCAATCCATCTTGTTTGTTCCTACTGTCACCAATAAATCAACTTGCTTCTTCTTGACACAGTAACATTTCCAGTCTGTGACAGATATTTTTCTCCACTTCTCTGCTCTCAGAGCCAGCATCTGCCTCAGGAAGCTACCAGTTTTGCTTATCACCTATGAAGGGTTCCCTTCTGTGGTAATCAGCAGGGCTTTCTTGTATCCATTTCTCCTTAACTTTCCATTGAATATGTGGGACACTTTGTAATATCTAGACATTTTTTGCTGTTATCCCAGAATTGAAGGTCTTCTATGTTCTCCCATATCCTAAACCAAAACCATAATCTCAGTATGTGTTTTTAGGCTAAGAAAGCAGAGTCTCTGGTCCTAATCAAATATCACTACCCTCCAACCCTCATTCAACCTCCATGCTTCAGAATCAGGCCATCACATGCTGCTTTTCCTTGTTGTCAGCATCAACCAATCCCCTTCCAAAGTCCCTTCATCAGGGTGCCTGAGTTAAGCATCTACCTTTGGCTCAGGTCATGATCCTGGGGTCCTGGGATCAAGCCCCGCGTCGGGCTCCCCACCCAGTGGAAAGGCTGCTTCTCCCTCTGCCACCCACTTGTGCTTGCTCTCTCTCTCAAATAAATAAAAAAATCCTTTTTTAAAAGTCCCTTCATCAAAAAAATAAATAAATAAGAATAAAAAATAAAAAGTCCCTTCATCAATTTATAATTTCGTACTTGTCCACTGCTTTCCTCTCCACTCTATCTGTTACTATCCAGTACCTGGGTCACCATCCCTTAAAATGGCTTTTTCTTTCTGTCCTCCTCCTCATTGTCACAATGCCATTGTAAATATTGCACCAACCTTGAAATCACAATTAAATGCCTCTCACATTGGGGCACCTGGCTGGCTCAGTGGTTGAATGTCTGCCTTTGGCTCAGGACATGATCCAGGGTCTTGGGATCAAGTCCTGCATCAGACTCCCTGCACCTGTTTCTCCCTCTGCCTATGTCTCTGCCTCTCTCTCTCTCTCTCTCTCTCTCTCATGAAATAAAATCTTTAAAAAATAAATGCCTCTCATACTTAATAGCTATAACATAAAGGAAGAGGGTAAATGAATCTATATGGTGATAAAATTTCTACATTCCATTTAAAGAGGCAACATTTTTATTCTAAAGAGATTGTGAAAGGTTAAATATGGATATTATACTCCCTTAAGCAACCATTAGGAAAATCACAGAAGACCAATTATTAAAGATCAACTATTATAAGAGACCAGCAAGTTAATGTAAGAGACCAATTAATAAAAGATCAGTAATCAGAATAGATTAAAAACATGAACCAAGTATATCCTGTCTACAAGAAACTCACAGAAAATACAATGATACAGGTAGGATAGAAGCAAAGGGATACACTTCTACTTCTACCTCAAATGGAGTAACAGAGACTGGATTTATCCTCCTATATGAAATAACACAAAAAATCAGAGAAAATACATGAAATAATCATCTTCAAGTAATGAAGGACAGTGATCCTTGAGAGGTGGGAAAGGAAACAAGGCCAACCCCGTTGATTACACCAACTTTCTATCTTAAGAGAGTTTTCAGGCCATGATAGAGAGAACTCGATCCCTAGCATACTGTCTGAGCTGAGGATAATCCAGACCTCAGAATCTGAGAAAATCAAGGCAGCTAGAGATGGTTGAACAGAATATCACAGAGGAGAGAAGAGCAGAGAGAGAGAATTGCAGAGGACCCTCCTTGATCATGCAGCTAAGTGCTGATCATCACATGTGTGTGAGGAACCTACCAGGACTAGGGTAAAAACAACCTGAAGGGGTTAGACATAAGTCCTGGCACTCACATAGGGCATGGAATAATGACTGTTCCCATCAGCCAGAACTGAAATATTCATAACTCATAGGCCACTGGACTCAGGAAGGTCTTGACTCAGGAGTGGAAATAATCAGCCCCAGGCAAGCACCTGCCAAGTTCCAGACCTGCCTAACAAGTCATAAAAGCAAGACCCTAAAGCACTGCACTGTTTCAGAGTAGCTAAACTGAATTCTAGAACAAGACTCAAGAAGACTTCTAGATAGACAAAAATATTCAGCACCAAACAAGGTAAAACTCAAAATGTCCATGCTACTATTCGTTATAAGAAAGCTGAAGCGGTGGGCAGCCCTGGTGGCTCAGCGGTTTAGCGTTGCCTTTGGCCCAGGGTGTGATCCTGGAGATCCAGGATCGAGTCCTTGGTCAGACTCCCTGTATGGGGCCTGCTTCTCCCTCTGCCTGTGTCTCTGCCTCTCTCCCTCTCTCTGTGTGTCTCTCATGAATAAATAAAAAAACCTTTAAAAAAAAAAGACAAGAAAAGAAAAAGAAAGCTGGAGTGCTACTTTACTATTAGCAACGTGCATTTCACACCAGAGAAAACTATCAATGATAAAGAAGGTCATCTCACATGAAAAACAAGTTAATTCATGAAGAGAACATAATTATTAAAGATGTATTCCCACAGTAATAGTTAAATCCATGAAACAAAAACTGAAAGATTTGCCAGGCACTTATCCTAGAGAAAGGCAAACTTATGTCCAAACCAAATCTTATACATGATTGATCATAAAAGCTTTATTTTTAATAGCTGGAATATCTTATAATAGGTGGATGCTAAACAAACTCAGTTATAAAAAAGGAACTATTGATACACACAATTTGGATGGATCTCAAAGGCATTATGCTGAGTGAAAAGTCAATCTCAAAAGGTCATATATTATATGATTGTATTATATTTATGTATATTCTTGAAATGGCAAGATTATTGAAAAGAGATCTATTTTATTTCACTGGACATATCTGAAATATTACCATTTCTACATGTAATCAATACAAAAAAATTAATGAGATGTTTTACATTCTCTTATCATACTAAATCTTGAAAATGCAGTATTTTATACTCATCCTAATTTGGATTTACCACATTTAAAGTGCTCAATATCTACAGGTAATTACTCACTACCACGATGAACAACAAAGATCTAAGCAATATGAAATGCCTATTCATATCTGTTCCCCATTTTTTATTGTGGTGCTTATTTATTATTGAGTTTTGATTATTTTTCACACATTCTGGATGCAAGTTCTTAATCAGATACATAATTTGAAAATATTTCCTTTGCCTCATCCTTTTCTCTTAGTAGTGTCTTTCACCATTAATATTTTTAGTGATGAAGTCCAATTTACCAACTTTTGCTCTTATAGATCATGCCTTCAGTACCTTCTCTAAAAAATCCCTGCCCACCCCAAGGTCACAGTGGTTTTCTCCTATAATTGTTCCAACACTAATTGTTGAAAAGATCACCTTTTCTCTAAACTTATTTGCATCTTTGTCAAAAAGCAGTTATCCAAATACATGTCTTTTAAAAATCAATGTAAATACATTAATTTAAAATTTATTTATTGCTGGGTGCATCAGTGGCTGAGTTTGTTAAGCATCTGACTTTGGCTCAGCCTCACATTGGGCTCCCCACTTGTTGGGGAGTCTGCTTGACCCTCTGCCCCCCTCCAGCTCGTGCTCTCTCTCTCTCTCTCTTGTCTCAGATAAATAAATCTTTTAAAAAAACATTTAAAATAAAATAAAAATTTATTGCTAAAAACTGCTAATAATCATCTGAGCTTTCAGCAAGTTGCAATTACTGATCACAGAACCGCATGACAAATATAATAATAATGAAAAAGTCTGAAATACTGTGAGAATTACCAAAATGTGACACAGAGCCAGGAAGTAAGCAAATGTTGGAAGTATGACACTGATAAACCTGCTTGATGCAAGGTTGTCACAAACCTTCAATCTGTTAAAAACAAACAACAAAACGCTGCATTTATGAAGTGCAATAAACCAAGCACAATAAAGCAAAGTATGCCATAATTGTTATGTTTTCTTGCCATATTGAACCTTTTATTAATAATAACATCATCCTTTGTCTCTTGTAAACTTCTGATTTAATGTCTACTTTGTCTGATGTTAATATAGCCATCCTCACTCTCTCTTGGTTATTATTTGTATGGAGTATCCTTTTTTATGCTTTCATTTCTAACCTGCTGTGACTTTGGATCTCAAGTAAGTCTCTTATAGATAGCATATAATTGGATCAAATGTTTTTACCCATTCTACCAATCTCTATCTTTTGCTTGGAGAGTTTAAGCATTTACATTTAAAGTAATTACTGATAAGGAGGGACATATTTCTGTCACTGTGCTATTTTCTACATACATTATACTTTTTTACTCTCATTTCCTGAATTACCATCCTTTCTTTTGCATTCAGCTGATATTTTTGTAGTGAAATGTTTTAATTCCTTTCTCATTTCCTTCTGTAGATATTCTATAGCTATTTTCTTTATGGTTACCATGGGGAATACATTTAACATACTATTAACACTCTGATTTAAATTTATACCAGCTTAATTTCAATAACATACAAAAGCTTGGTTCCTTTACAGCTCCATCCCCACCCTTTTAGGTTGTTGATATCACAAAATTACATCATTATTCATTGTGTGCCCCCCAAAATAAACTAATAATTTCTTAAATAAATTAATCTCTTAAATTAGGTAGAATCAAGATTTGGAATTACAAACCAAAGTTACAGTAATACTTACTTTTACATTAATAACTGTTTTTAATGTATTATTAATCTCTTAAATCATGTAGAAAGTAAAATGTGCAGTTATAAACTACTGTTACAATAACAATAGCTTTCATAATTGCTCATATATAATGGGGCACCTGGGTGGCTCAGTCAGTTAAGTGACTGACTCTTGATTTTGGCTCAGGTCATGATCTCATGGTCATGAGATTGAGCCCCGCATCAGGCTTCCTGACCAGCACTGAGTCTGTTTGTCCCTCTCCCCGACCTCTGCCACTATCCCTGCTCATGTATCCTCTCTCTCTAAAATAAATAAAATCTTAAAAAAACAATAATTGCTCATGTATTTACCTTTATTGAGATCTTTATTTCTTCATATGATTTTGAGTTACTGTCTAGCATCCTTTCATTTCACCTTGTAAAACTCCCTCAAGCATTTCTTGTATAGCAAGTCTGGTGGTGACAAACCCCCTCAGCTTTTGTTTATCTGGGAATGTCTTAATTTCTCCCTCATTTCTGAAGAATAGATTTTCTGGATATAGGATTCTTGGTAGACAGTTTCTTTATTTTAACACCTTGAATATATTGGCCCTCTGTCTTCTGGTCTCCAAAGTTTCTGATGAGAATATGCTGGTAATCTAATTGAGGATCCTTTGTATGTGATGATTTGCTTCTCTTGACGCTGTCAAGATTTTCTCTTTGTCTTCGGTTTCAGAAAGTTTGGTTTTAATGTGTCTTAGTGTGGCTCTCCTTCAGTCCACTTAGAGTTTGTTGAGCTTCTTGGATATTTATATGCATGTCTTCCATCAAATTTGGGAAGTTTTCAGCCACAACTTGGAAAAAAACAAATGTCCATCAATATTTCTCCAAATATTCTCACTGCTCCTTTTTCTGTCTCTCCTCCTTTTGGGATTCCCATAACATGAGTATAAATTCACTTGAGGGTATCCCACAGGTCTCTTAGGTTCTGTTTGCTTTTCTTCAACCTTTATTTTCCCTGTCTCAGACTTGAAATTTTCCATTGTCCTACACTCAAGTTCACTGATTCTTTCTCCTGCCTGCTCAAATCTGTCTTTAAATCCCTCTACTGAATTTTTCATTTCAGTTATTGTACTTTTCAGCTACAGAATTTCCTTTTGGCTTCTTTTTAGGGTTTTCTATCTCTTTATTGATATTTCCATTTTGCCCACACACTGTTTTCTTGACTTCCTTCACAACTTCCTTTAATTCCTTGAGCATCTTTAAGATAGTTAAAGTCTTTGTTTAACATATCTGCATTAGGTCTTTTTTTGAAGACAGTTTCTGTTGATTTATTTGTTTTTCTTCTTTTTTAAAATATTTTATTTATTTATTCATGAAAGACACAGAGAGAGAGGGAAAGAGGCAGAGACACAGGCAGAGGGAGAAGCAGGCTCCATGCAGGGAGCCCAACATGGGCCTCAATCTCGGGTCTCCAGGATCACGCCCTGGGCTGAAGGCAGCACTAAACCACTGAGCCACCCAGGCTGCCCTTATTTTTTTCTTCTTTGAGTGCTACATTTTCCTGTTTCTTAGTACATTTTGTGATTTTTTTTGTTCAATACTGGACATTTCAATCTAATAATTGGTAACTCTGGATATCAGATTCTCCCCTTTCCTAAAGTTCATTGTTATTATTGTGGTTTTTTTAAGATTTATTTATTTATTCATGAGAGACACAGAGTGAGAGAGGCAGAGACATAGGCAGAGAGAGAAGCAGGCTCCCCAGGGAGCCCAATGTGAGACTCAATCTCAGATCCCAGGATCACACCCTGAGCCAAAGGTAGATGTTCAACCACTAAGCCACCCAATCATCCCTGTTATTATTGTTTTTATTTTTTATACATTTTATTGTTGTAGACCGCCTCTGTGCTGAGGATCAGCCAGAGGTATATACTTAAGGTCATCTTCTTTGTCTTTTGGTAGGCTCCACACCCGGTGTGGAGTCCCACATGGGGCTTGAACTCACAGTCCTGAGATCAAGACCTGAGCTGAGATTAAGAGTTGGACACTTAACTGACTGAGTCACCTAGGAGCCCAAATTTTAGGTCTTCTTAGATCTTTTCTTTCCTTGGGCATGCACAGCCCACTTTCTAATATTCCTCATATATGTAGTTTTTTTTAATATCCTAGTCTTTAAAATCTACCTCCCAAAGAGGAAAAAGCAAAAGTGAAGGGAGGAGAAAAGGTGCCAGCCCTTCACATCTCCTGGAAGTCACTTCAGCTGGAGAGAAAGGGTCTTGCAACAAAAGGGGGAGGTGCAATAACTATGACTGATCACCTCTTTGCACCTCTGTGATCAGATGCAGCAATCAGAACACAGATCCCCAGTAGTTGGAGAACAGAGTCCTTATTGCCCACACTAGCTCCCACAACTGCATGCAAGTTGCTCCAGGGACACATGTATGATATCCTGTCATGTGGCTGGTGGGGGGGTAGTGGATTGGTAGCTGCTACTATGCTAAAAACCAAAATTTACTACAATTTACCATCCAAGCCTTCCTCTGGAAATTGAAAGCCTTCAACAGACTCCAGAGTTCCACAATAGTTGTATCAGACAGATTATGCCAATACAACTGTAGTCTAGACGGAGAGACAGATTCCTGATGCTTCCTATTCTTTCATCTTCCCACTGTTTATCATTTTTTAAAGCTTAGATCAACAGTTCTAACTACCAAGTGAAAGGGAATTCATGGGGCAAAGGAACATGTTAAATGACACCACATGTATACAACCAGCACAACACAAACTGTGGGAACTCTGTAAGACAATGACCTGGCTTTGTCAAAAATTATGTTTAGAGAAAAAGAGAGAGAGAGAGAAGCTATAACTTAAAAGAGACTTAAACACATAAAACCAAGTGCAATGTGTGGACCTCACTTGGAGCTTGACTTGAAAACCAGGAAAAAATATTTTTATGAGACAGGAAAGGAACTCTATTAATTGACTGGCTATTGGGACACCTGGGTGGCTCAGCCATTAAGCATCTGCCTTTGGCCCAGGGCGTGATCCTGGAGACCCGGGATCGAATCCCACATCGGGCTCCCAGTGCATGGAGCCTGCTTCTCCCTCTGCCTGTGTCTCTGCCTCTCTCTCTCTCTCTCTCTCTCTGTGTGACTATCATAAATAAAAATTAAAAAAAAATAAAATAAAATAAAAAATAAAAAGCAATCAAGGTGGTGGTCACCTGGGTGGCTCAGTGGTTGAGCATCTGCTTTTGGCTCAGGTCATGACCCCCGGGTCCTGGGATTGAGGCCTGAGGAGCCTGCTTCTCCCTCTTCCTATGTCTCTACCTCTCTCTGTGTGTCTCTCATGAATAAATAAATAAAATCTTTATTAAAAAAAAAAAGAAAGCAACTGAGAAGCACCTGGGTGCCTCAGTTAGTTGAGCACCCAACTCTTGATTTCAGCTCAGGTCATGGTCTCAGGGTTGTGGGATGGACCCCTGCAGGAGGCTCTCCAAGAACCAGAGAGGGCAAGGAGGCTCCCTGCTCTGAGGGGAGCCTGCTTCTCCCTCTGCCTCTGCCTGCCGCGCCACCTGCTTTTGCTCGCTTTCTCTCTCTCATTCTCTGTCAACTAAATAAATCTTTAAAAAGAGCACAGAGACTGCTTGAGAATCTCTTTCCCTCTTCTTCTGCCCCTCCCCCTGCTCGCACACATGCATGCACATTCTCAAATAAATAAATAAAATCTAAAAAAAAAAAAAAAGGAATCAAAACGCAGCAGATTCAGGGAAAGCTCTGGAACCACCTCCCCAACTCAATGGACTTAAAAATAATTTAGGGGATCCCTGGGTGGTGCAGCAGTTTAGTGCCTGCCTTTGGCCCAGGGCGCGATCCTGGAGACCCGGGATCAAATCCCACATCGGGCTCCCGGTGCATGGAGCCTGCTTCTCCCTCTGCCTATGTCTCTGCCTCTCTCTCTCTCTCTGTGTGTGACTATCATAAAAATAATAATAATAATAATAATAATAATAATAATAATAATAATAATTTTAGATAGGAGACCTGGCCCAAGAAGAGAGCTATCACCATAGATAACTAACTACAGTATGAACTATGTACGGTGCACAAGGAGGAACCTAGCAAGGCCACTCAGATCAAAGTGGGCACTTTTTGTCCCCTTGTTTCTGAGGGGTCCGGCAAACATTTGTTTTTCATCTTTGTGTAAACTGTATTCCTTTCCCCTGAATCCCAGCTGCCTACCTGCTTCTCCTTTGTCCAGAAGGACACACAGACCTCATTTTGCCCAAGTGTCTGGAATTTCTATGTCAGTGTGGATTCCCCATATGTACACCTGTTAAATTCGAGTTCCTCCGGTCCACCTGTCTCATATCAATTTGATTCTTAGCTCAGCTAGAAGGATCTTGAAAGGGGGGAAATGTTTTTAAGATTCTATTTATTTATTCTTGAGAGACACAGAGAGAGAGGCAGAGACATAGGCAGAGGGAGAAGCAGGGTCCCTGCAGGGAGTACAATGCAGGGCTCGATCCCAAGATCCTGGGATCACGACCTGAGCCCAAGGCAGACGCTCAACCACTGAGCCACCCAAGCGTCCTGGGACAGGAATTCTTGTTCCCCAACAAAACATGGCCTTTGATGTTACCCTATAAGACCTATTTCAGGGATCCCTGGGTGGCACAGCGGTTTAGCTTCTGCCTTTGGCCCAGGGCCGATCGTGGAGACCCAGGATCGAATCCCACGTCGGGCTCCCGGTGCATGGAGCCTGCTTCTCCCTCTGCCTGTGTCTCTGCCTCTCTCTCTCTCTCTCTCTCTGTGTGTGTGTGTGTATGTGTGTGACTATCATAAATAAATAAATAAAAATTAAAAAATAAAATAAAAAAATAAAGACCTATTTCACATTGCTGACCTCCAGGGACTGTAAGGTAAGAAGCGTGTGTTGGTTTAAGCCGCTAAACGTGTGCTCACTTGTTACAGGAGCAGCTGGGATCTAATACACGCAACTCCACACAATGGGCAATGTGGTGGGGTCTGCAGCTGGGATGTGATTTTGGAGCAGCGTTGTTGGGGCCCAGAGCCAACAGCCAAGAAAGAATTCTTGAGATGTCTTTGGTGCCAAAAGATTTTTTTTTAGCCCAGGGACAGGACCTGTGGGCTAAAAGAGCTGCTGTGTCAGGACTGTGAGGAGCAACTGATTATACACTTTGGAGTTGGAGGAGGTAAAGACAAAGGGACAGTCCAGAAGGACTTTCATAGGCTAAAGAAGAATCACAGAATCTCAGAAGCCTGGCTATTGTCAAACTAAGGTTGTTTTTCCCTCTGGCAAAACATTAAGGTGGAGACAGTTTGAGAGATTCCACCCCCGCTCCCCAGGGAGGAACGTTATACTCCACTTGTCTCAAGTATTTGTCAACGGGCTGCAGGTTATCAGGTAATTTTTTTAAAGATTTTATTTATTTATTTATTCATGAGAGACACAGAGAGACAGAGAGGCAGAGATACAGTCAGAGGGAGAAGCAGGCTCCATGCAGGGAGGCCGAAGCAGGACTCGATCCCAAAACCCTGGGATCACTACCTGAGCCAAAACAGACGCTCAACTGCTGAGCCACCCAAGAGTCCCTAGGACATTTAATTTTATCTGCATTTCCTTCTGCCTTTGTTTCTCACATCAGTTGTACATCCTAACTTCCATCATTGTTTAAACAGGACATGCAGGCGCCTGGGTGCCTCAGTTGGTTAAGCGTCTGCCTTTGGTTCAGGTCATGATCTCAGGTCCTGGGATCGAGGCCCACTTCGGGCTCCCTGCTAAGTGAGGAGCTTGCTTCTCCCTCTCCCTCTGCCCCTACCCCCCACCC